ACTCTTGTAATAACTCCATGCTGACAGGTCTTAACATTTTTATTTTACAGATCAGGAAATTGAGTCATGGAGAGATTACATAACTTGCCCAAGTTTACCTAGAGCAAAAGCCAGGATGGGAAGTCAGGCAGTCTGATTCTAGAACCTGTGCTCTTGACCATTATGCTAGTTTGGGAATTTATTTTTTTAATCATTAGAGCTTCTCTCCTGTGAAGAGCTACCTTGTGATGTAATGTGTAGCACTTGATGGTCACCAATCATCTACATGAAGGATCCACGTATGCTCCGTAGTTAGATTAGATTACCCTGAAGGAGCTTTCTAAAAGTGCCACGATTCTGTGACTTGATGTACTGAGAGTCCTTGTTTTGTGTAGTTCTGATATGTACAAATTTCACTTACCATAATTTGGTTAAATGACACCTGTCTCCTAATAACGAATTATGCACAGTATATTAGCTGTAATTGCATAGACTACAACATTTACTGCCAGCTCTTCTATCTACAAATTACTGCATAAATAACAGGTGTGCATCAGTATCAGCGATCTATCATCTCATTTCTTTCAAAGCCTGTTGGTCATTGCACATCTCTTGTTCACTTCATGCACAGACAGCAAAGCATGAAGTTATGTTGCTTCCTTGTTTCCCAGTAATAAATCCATGTGACATTTTACAAAAATGAATAATTGAAAGAGGGAACTGGCAACAAAGATGAAAGTGCAGCAAAGAACCAAAAAGTAATAAAACTGGAAGCGAAATTCAAATTGAACATAAATGGAGCTCTAGAAGAAATAGCTCACTGTGGTAGTGTTGACACTACTGCCATTCAAAAGACTGGATCTGCAGCCAGAGGAACTTAGTGAAGGTGAGCTTATCTGTGTAAATGATGACAATGGTTGGTGAAAAAGATGAAGATGTCTCAGTGGAACTGATGCTGGTAAGAAATTTCACATTAAAGGACCTCTTGAAATTGCTTTGTGACATCGAAGGGACAAAGGATAAAATACTGGAAGCTGATTCAAACTGAGGAGTACGACGATTTGCCAAGGTGTAGAAAAGATGCCCATTCCATATCATAAGTTAAATGATGAGAAGAAGGCTGGCACTGTTCAGACTGCTCTTGATGAGTTTTTTCAAAGAAATTATATGCTATAGTTTTCAGTGTTTCTAATATTTTCCAGTTTGCTAAATAAAGATTTTCCCACTTTTTCATTTTCTTATACAGTTATAACTAACAGAATTTTTAATGCTGTGACAAAAAATTTTTAAAGATCACAGACCAATTGTAATTTTTCCCATTGATTATTATGATCATTTTGCATGGTTTCAGCCTGCATTGTTATTTTTCTGGTCTTGCACTACTGAGCAAAACAAAGATGTCTATACTTCATTGTTGAAAGTTTAATTTTTCTCTTCAGCTTCTAGTGGCACCCTCTGGCATTTTCTTACAGAAGTTTGTATATGCATCTGACAACAAAGCATGTTTCTTTCAGCAAGCTTTGCTTTTTGAAAAAAAATCATAATTACTGAAAAAGAAATAAAATATCTGCTGATAATAACAGGAAAAGAAATATCCTTGAAGTTGGTGTTATGGGTAATCTCAGGAAGGAAGATGTTAGTTTCATGTATATGGTGCCCTGTCTCTCTGTCTCTTTCTCTTTTTTTGGTAACAGTTTTGTTGAGATATTATTTGCATACCATACAGTTCAATCATTTAAAGTGTAGAATTCAGTGGCTTTTAGTATGTTCACAGATATGTGTAACCATTACCACAGTCAATTTTATAACATTTTCTTCGCTCCCAAAAGAAACTCCATACTCTTTAGCTATCACCCCCTAAGCCTTTCACTCCCCCCGCCCAAACCCCCAGCCCTAGGCAACCACTAATCTTTCTATCTCTTAAGGTTTGCCTGTTCTGGACATTTCATATAAATGGTATGATAATGGATGTGGTCTTTCATTACTGGCTTATTTCACTTAGCATAATGTTTTCAAGGTTCATCCATCTTGTAGCTTGCATTAGTACTTCATTCCTTTTCATGGACACATAATCTATTGTATGGATATACCACATTTTGTTTATTCATTCATCTGTTGATGGACATTTGAGTTGTTTCCACTTTTTAGCTATTATGAATGATGATGCTACAAACTCTTGTGTTCAAGTTTTTGTACAGCCATATGTTCTCATTTCTCTTGGGTTTATACCTAGTGAAATTACTGGGTCATATGGTAACTCTATGTTTAACCTATTGAGGAATTGCCAGACTGTTTTCCAAAGTGGCCACATCATTTTATATTCCCATTAGCAGTATATGAGGCTTCCAGTTTCTCCACATCCTTGCAAACACTAGTTATTATCTGTCATTTTGATTATAGTCATTCTGGTAGGTATGAAGTGGTATCTCATTGAGGTTTTGACTTTCATTTTCCTGATGACTAATCTGCTTATTGGCTATTTGTATAGCATCTTTGGAAAAATGTCTGTTCAGATCATTTGCACATTTTAAAATTAGGTTATTTTGTCTTTTTATTACTGAGTGGTAAGAGTTTTGGTATATTTTAGATACAAGTCTCTTATCAGATGTGTGATTTGTAAGTATTTTCTCCCATTCTGTGTATTGCCTTTTCGCTTTTTTGATGGTGCCTCTTAAAGCAGAAAAGTTTTCAATTTCGATGAAGTCCAGTGTATCTATTTTTCTTTTGTTACTTGCACTTTTGGTGCCATATTTAAAAAAACCATTGCTAAATCCAAGGTCATGAAATTTATCCCTGTATTTTCCTCTAAGAGTTTTATGATTTTAGCAGTTACGTTTCCGTCTTTGTTCCATTTTGAGTTAATTTTTGTATATGGTGTGAGTGGGGGGTTCAACTTCACTATTTTGTGTGTACATATCCAGTTGTCCCAGTACCATTTGTCAAAAAGACCATTCTTTCTCTTTTGGGGAGCTTTAGCACCTTTGTTGATAATTAATTGACTGTAAATGTGAAGATTTATTTTTGAACTTTCTATTCTGTTCTATTGATCTTTATGTCTATGCTTGGTATAGTACAAGATTGTCTTAGTTACTGTGGCTTTTTGTGGTGTGTTTTGAAATGAGGAAGTGTGAGTCCTCTGACTGTGTTCTTATTTTAAGATTGTTTTGTCTATTCTGGGTCCTTTGAATTTCTGTATGAATTTTAGAATTAGCTTGTCAATTTCCTGAAAGAGGCCATCTGGGATTTTGATAGAGATTGCCTTGAGTCTGCAGATGAGTTTGGGGAGTATTGCCGTCTTAACAATGTTAAGTCTTCCCATCTAAGAACTTGGGGTGTCTTTCTATTTGTTTAGACCTTTAATTTTTTCACCAATGTTTTGTATTTTTCAGAGTATGTTTTATACTTTTATTAAATTTTTTTTCTTTTTACTCACAAAAGCTATTTTATAATTCATAAGTAATCAATAATTGTTAAAATATTCTGTATTCCATATTATTCAAAGGAACATAGTATTATACCATTTGCTTCTTCTATCCTTTTAATACTTCTTTAAGTTGTTAGAAGTTGGTAAGAATGAGGTCTTAATAGTAATCGTTTTTGAATATATAATTTTATAGTGTATTTTATTTTAAAATATAGTGCATTCTTTAAAAGTAACTAAAATCAGTAATTATTCAAATTAACATTTAAAATATACAGCTAATCATGATCTTTTAATATATTTCTGCATAGCTCTAGAACATTATTTTCTTATTTTTCAATTTTTTTTGGATTAACGTGGGTTTTAAGCCACTAATCGATTGTGCTTTCATACTTCCTTGGTTCTTTCTGCCAGTCCTGATGGCACCTAAAGATTGCTAACATATTTGAATAGACGTGCCCTACAGTTTGTTTCCACTTGAGAAACTGCCCTTTATTGTATTGGTGGAGAGAAGCAGAAACTTTAGGGTAATTTATAATGGAAGGAAGCTTTTGATCCGAAGAGTAAGTAATTTCTGGAAATTTTATAGCAGTGTTTGTTAGTTCATCTGGATCTGAGGAAAGATGAGAGTTGAGGCAATACTGAAGCACCCTCAGAGTAGGCTGTGCTTCCACTGGTTAGTTCAAAGCATGTAGGGGAAGCATTCACATTGCATCCAGGGAATTCGCTCAGAATCTAGGATATGTGTTAGGTTTTTGCATTTATGTTCATTCTTAAGTATTTCTGATGATAATGGCAGTAAAGAGTATCCACTCAGGTTCTGAGGCAGAGGAATTCCAGCAATATCAAGCATAAATATCCACAAGAAAAACCGTGTTTGATATTTATAGGTCGGCCTTAATTCCTGGTCCCATTATCAAGAGTGGAACATGGGCACTAGCTTCACACATACTCATTTTATAAAACTGACAGTGTTCCGTGGCTAGCTCTTTGTGGTCTGAGTGTATATGACATTAGTTTTCTGAAGAAGATCTAACTGGTGAAGAGCCAAAATAATTTCACCAAGTATGGCATCTGTCTCAGCACATATAGCATAATAAAATGCTCTAATATTTTTAATTTCTTTTTCTGTAAACTTCCCATTGCAGTTTTTTGTGTAAGAAGAGTCATAATCTATAGGGTGCATTTCTGACAGAGGCAACCACTTTGAGATTTTGATGGCATCATAAGCCCCTTTTTTCCCTACCTAAAGCCCCAGTACATAGTTGTATCTTGTAGTTGCAAGTCATTCCAGTTCTTCTATATGGGATGCCATCACAGCATGATTTGATGGGCGGTATGTAGGTCTGTGCCCAGGATCTGAACCGGTGAATCCCGGGTGGCTGAAGCAGAGTGTGTGAACTTAACCGCTCAGCCATTGGGCTGGTCCCAATGAGACACTTTTTTAAACCAATAAAGAGATGTGAGAAATGTTGACGCTCCAAATTTTCTCCTGAAGATGGTGAAGGATAAGAGTGTGGTAAATTTAATCTAGTACAGAACAAATGGTTGAGTATAATTAATTGCTTCTTTTCTTAACCAATTTTCTGCTCTGTTTGTATTCCTTCAGTCCCTTTCCATAACTGTTACTTTCATCTTTTTAGGGTAAAGATTAACCATAGGCCTGCCTTCTCGTCTGAGTAAGAAGGCAACATCTCTGGTCCATGCTTCCACATGATTGCTGAGGGGACAAAAAGACAGGTATATTGTAAGGTATTTAAAAAGTTTTAAAAACTGACTAAGTATAAACAGAAGAAGGCGCTGTGAAAAACAGTGTTTAGACTCAGTCACATAAATGTTCAGACTAACTATGTAATCCTGGGCCCTCCAGGACCAGTTCAGCTGACCTCATCTCTTATCAACAGAGTGATTCCAAACTTATTTCTAAGTATTCTTTTTGATGCTGTTGTAAGTGGAATTGTTTTCTTAATTTAACTTTTGGATTGTTCACTGCAAGTGTTTGGTACTCTTTTAATGTTGATTGTTGAATTTAAAACTCTCAGTAATCAGGGTTGTCTTACTGGCTTGTAATTACAAAAAGTAGAGGCTTGCATTGTAGGGTCTTCTTACGCAAGCTTTATTTCAGTGTTGGCTCTCAAGCAGTTTGTGGTCAGACTTTTGAGCTATTAGTGATCGCCTTAGATCTATAGGCCACTTGTACTTAGGAGTTCCAAACTGATGACTACATATGCCACTTGTATGGTCAATGTGACTAGTTTTCAAAAGCCCTTTCAGTTATAAAGCAAATGACTTGGCAACAAAAATGCCTTTCATTCATATCATTCTTTTGTTTTCTTGGTGCGAAGAGCTGTAGTTAAGAGGAACAGTTAGATCTTAGTGGTTTACCAAGTTGCATTAGAGGAAGTGTATAAAAGGATTGTTGAGCCAAACAGCTTTCAGATTTAAAAACCAATCTATTAGCAAGACAGGAACCTCTTGCAGATGCTTTGGTTAACCTGTAACTTAGTGTAAGATGAGTTGAAGCTATGACTTTTGAGATTAAATCTTAAATTATGTAGGCATGTTTCTGATAAGTGTAGTTTTGTCGTCCACATCAGAATCATTTAGCATAGTTTGAAATGCAGACTCCTGGACCTCTACTCAGACTTACCAAATCAGATTCCCAGCATAGGACTATCTATATTAAATCTATATTAAATCATCTTCCCAGGGGATGTCCACATTAAACTTTGAAAACTGTTTTTAATTGTGTATGGCCTTCTCTTAAGTGATTGATTTTACCAGAATCAAATTGTGGATCACAGGCAGCCCTTAAAAAAAAGGAACAGAAGATATCAATACATTTTACATAGTGAAGATTAGTATTGATTTATGAAACTTTGTTTCATTTATATGTGTGTGGATGTATGTAAGTGTATGTGTGTGAATATGGGTCATTATATAAAATGAGTTTTTTCCCCATGGGTTGTGATCAAAAGAGAAAAATTAAAAGTTCAGAATTAGAAAAATATGAAACATTTCACTTTACATTGTTTTGTGTCTGGCATGTTCCTGGAACTGGGATAGGAACATTCAAAGATCACTGAAAATCCTTGCTCTTGAGCTCACAGTTTATAAGGGGTAATAGGCACATAAATAATAAAGTTTGTCAGCGCTGTACTAGAAGCACATACCGTATAGAGTGTTCTGGAAGTCATGGAGGCTTTCATTGAGATGGAGATAGTTGAGGTAGGTTTTGAAAAGATGGGAAAGAAGAATGGCATTTTGGTTACTAAGCAAGAGAGAATTATTTTAGGATTGAAGAGGAAGAATTGATATCATTATTTCTGATTCAGTGTACTAATGTACTTAGCCACTCTCACTCATGTTACCTACACTCATTCTCATGTAGCTCCTGAGTGCATGGGGATCACTTCAGAGCACCAGGAGATGAAGGGAGGTTCTATAGCTCTTATAACAGCTTTTCCTCTTTCTGGAGGCACTCTTTCTTTCCTTTCCTCAGAACTTTGTTTGCTGGAGTTTGCTTGTTTCCTTTTCAGATTTTATTTCATGTTGATGCTTGTATTACTGTCCTCACTGAATATTTTCAGGCCCTAGGCTGGTAATCTAAGTTTAGTCTTTATCTCTCAGTAGGCCTTATAACCATCTTTTTGTTTTATCTTACTGGGGGACAACATTCACCTTTAGAATCTCAGACAGCTGCTCCACAAACTAGAAGAGATTATGTTAGCTTTTGTTCCTTATGCTGTCTGCTGTAGATTCCTTTGTTGCATCAGCCACCTTCAGTCATTTGATTCTCACATGCATACTGATACACACAAATTAGGAAGACTCACTCTAAGTAGTTCTCCTGATCTATTTTGTGTTTCCTAAGTGTTTTAGAGCAGAGATAATTACTGACCACCTAAGCAGAAGGAACTGCCTGGGCAAGGGTCTGGATGTGCACACCCTTTGTCAAAGCATTTGGCCATAGCTCCATACATGACAGTATGCCTGCTTGGAGCCAAGCAAAGAGAAGGTACATCCATGTGCTTTGAGTACCTAGATGTGTAGTAAATGATGAATAACAACTTTTTTTAAGAATTAAAAAAATAGGGGAGTAAGGTTAATAGGTGATGAATGCAAATGCATGGCAGTTTTATTTTTTTACCAGACATTCAAAGAGATTACATTTAGGAGTCAGGTGGTCTTGGTGAGGGACGCTAACTGGTTACCAGCCTCCAGGATCTAGGTTACAATTTTTGACTTAGGATACTGACTTTTCAGATGAAACTAACTTTCAGTAGTTAGTGTCACTTTTCCTTCTTGCTTTCCTGCCCCTCTTCTTACCCCCATCTTGGCTTATTCTAAATGAGGAGGATGCTGGATAAGCATGGATTTAGAACAAAGGAATATAGTTTGGGGCTGTTTCATCTAAGCTCTAGGAGAGTCAGACAGAGTGTATTGTTCATGCTTCCACACAGTTGCCGAGGGGACAAAAAGACGGGTATATTGTAAGGTATTTAAAAAGTGCATCTTTCCCCCAGAAGAGAACACTTTTTAGATGACTGGATTGCTTATGCTCCCCAGACTCTTGGGAAATTTTGCTTTTCTAAGCACCCCCTTTCCCCTGCATATTTTTTTATGCTAACCATTTCCATCTGGCACATCTGATGTCATAGAACAAGAGAAGTCCTTATATTTGCCTGTATACTCGCCTGCTCATTTTCCCATTCCTGTTACCCTCTGTCTCTCCGTGTTGGAGATGTCTTTATCTGTTTCAGGAGCTGGGAGTTGGGGTAGGGAGTTGCATGTAGAGGTGGTGGGAGAGAATGTTTATATTGCCTCTGACTTTTCAGTGTATTTAATGATTTTTTTAGCTCTGCCTAGAGCTTGCTATAAAAACTGCTGTGAGTGGCAGTTTTGGGTAGTAATTAAGAGTTGGGTTCTACCACTTTACTAGCTGAGTACCCTCAGGCAAGTTATTTAACCTCTAAGTGCGTGCCTTGGTGTCCTCATTTTAAATGCAAGAAATAATAAACCTGCACACTAGAAGTGTTCAGTATATTAATTGAATTAATATATCTAAAGTGATTAAACTAGTATCTGGAATATGAGCACTTAATAAATGTTGAGGTGATTTTGGAGAAGAATTCTTATTTTTGATACAAATCAGACCCAAGGTAGATTCAATATTTGGACTAGAATATGAAGTTTGATTTTTAGTTGTCACAATAAATCATTTTTTTCTTGGCGTTAAAAAATTCTGGAAATCTTTCTTTTTGTTCACTTGTAGCCAGACATCAAAGAAAGGGGAAAATTCAGTAGAATAAGTCATTTTTTAAAATGGTAAATATCTGAGTTTTCCCCCCTATGTTTTCTTCTTTCTTCCTTTTTCTTGCCTGAACAGTAAAAATAGATCTGGTTTCCTGGGTTATCACAGCTTGTAACAAAAAGCTTTTTGATAAAATTGGCTGTTGGGTTGGTGGGATGAGATCATTCCTTCCTAAGTAGTTTGCAGTCTCTGAAGTATTTGTTGAAACAAAACCGTGCTGGGTAGGCTGACCACACAATAAGCCACACTTTGTGGTTATGTTCAGGGGCAGGAGTGTGGGTTTTCTGTGTGATAGAATACTACTGATATGTAGAAGAAGGTGAAAGGTACTTGGCACAGTTCCTTGCACTGTGGCTGGACACGTGTAGAAAGAGATAAGATTGATAAAGGGGCTCAGGACACACTTAAGGTTGAAAGCTAGTTTTAGGCCTTTCCTTCTTTCTGTTTTTTTTGGTGAGGAAGATTGACCCTGAGCTAACATCTATGCCAGTCCTCTATTTTGTATGTGGGATGCCTGCCACAGCATGGCTTGATGAGTGGTGTATAGGTCCACGCCTGGAATTTGAACCTGTGACCCCAGGCTGCCAAACGGGAGCAGGTGAACTTAACCATTATGCCACTCAGCCAGCCCCTCTCACTAATTTGTTTATTCAATCCTTTATTTATATCAGTATGGATTCATGAATATTTTACATTTTCGGTTACAATCCAATACTACTATATTTTCTTGCTCAAGTTATTCCAGCTTTGGTCATTGGAAGCTCTTTTAGTTGACTCCTTTGTTCCTTTGACATACCTCTATTAATTAATTTATTATTTTTTAAGCATTTCCTAACTTTCTGACATTACAAGATGCTCCAGGCTCCACTTGTATATTTTCGTCCCCAGTCCTAGAATTGGTCATTTCTCCAAGGAGTCCTGGTTCTTTTATCAGAGAATAGTATTAGAAACCAAGACCTGAATGCTAGAGGTGCTCATTGCTTACTGGACTGTCCCCTAAAGATTTTAGTTAAACTTTATCTATGTTTTAAAGAAATGGAAGTGCCATATTTAAGGGAAAAAGTTTAGGCATGTTCCTAATGTAGACTTCTTTCCCCCATTCTTGTCTCTCTTCTTTCTACCTCCTTTTGTTGTAGCATAGTACTAAATCTTAAAATATCATGTAAAAATGTCATTACGCTTGTGATCTGTAGCAATAGTATATAGAATTTTAAACCACTGAGATTACTACCTTAGGAAATATGAGTATGTGTTCTTACTCGTTCCTTAAAGTGGAGGTTTAAGGATGGAGCTTTTCCTGTTATTAACTAAAACTCTTGAAAGAGGACTTAGCAGTTATTGCTTCCTACGGAAGTAAGACCTTTTGAGTGCATGAATCAAGTTCTGATTATGCTCTAAAGGAATTACCACTGGTTTCATACTATTT